CCAGAGAGTAACAGCAGCAGCAAGCACCTCCTAGGTGCTCGGGACTGTGCTAAAAGCTCCAAGGGCTTCATGTTACTACCCCCTGGAAGGCAGGTGTCACAGGGACCTATTTGGCAAAGGAAGCAACCAGTCTTCAGTTAGGTGAAGGTGGAACCCACATATTCAAAAAGCCTGAGGACTTTCCCCTTGCTGCCCAGATCTCAACCCCCTCCTACACCAAAGAGTTGGAAGGGCACATGCCCCTATATCAATGGGAAACTGAAGACCAAAGAGAATGACATCAAATAGTTGGATTTAGAACAAGTTGAGATTGGGGCCTCCTCAAACTATGGTTTGTTTTTTTGTTGTGATGGGGATTGAACCTAAGGGCAGCCCCAGCCCTTCCCCACACCCCCCTGTGGTGCTTGGGATTCAACCCAGGGCCTTCTGCATGCGAGGCAAGCACTCTACCAACTGAGCCACATCCCCAGCCCTTCCCAGCCCTATTTTGTATTTCACTTAGAGACAGGGTCTCACTGAGTTGCTTAGCGCCTCGCTTTTGCAGAGACTGGCTTTGAACTCGTAATACTCCTGCCTCAGCCTCCCAAGCCCCTAAGATTACAGATGCGCGCCACAGCGCCTGGCTCAGGTCTTAATATTTTTTAAATTTTAAGACAGGGTATTTTTAAATTACTGAGGCTGCCCTCCACCTTTCGAGATCCACCTCAGCCTCCTGAGTCGCTGGGATTACAGGTGCGGGCCACCATGCCCAGTTCCTCATTTTCAAGCTGCTTCCCTAACCTTCCCTTAACCTTTCATAGAGATGCCAACCAAGGGGCTCTGGAGAAGGTGCCAACCACCCCTCTCCTTGCCCCACACCCCAAGGTCAACCTGGGAGTCTTCAGCTGGCCTCCCACAAAGCAGGCTCCTCCCTCAAGAAGCCTCACAGGCCAGCAGGAGTTAACCACAGCTTAACTCACGACCCTGGGCACCAACCATTTATATATCCCAAGGGTGGACCCCGCCCCACCCCTCCACCAATCAGAAACCTCTGGAGAGGGGGCGTGGCTTCACTTCTACCTGTGAAGCCAGTCACCACCTGCCTTGCAGCTGCCAGGTAAAAGCTTTCTCAAAGCTTCCTCACCCCTAAGAGGGGCAGGGCTGCTGGACCTGGGGCCTGAAACCCCTACAGGACAAGAAGCTAAAACATCCTCCTGCACCCCCCCATGCTGTACTTAAACCCAAGGGCTCTCTATCACTGAGCTACACCCCCAGCCCTTTATTTTTTGAGACAGGGTCTCTCTAAATTGTTGAGGCTAGTCTCGAACTTGAGATTCTCCTACCTCAGCCTACTAAATTGCAGAGATTACAGATGTGGGTGTTGTTAGTAGCTTTACTTCACAAAGGAAAAAGCAACCACTAAAATGCAGTGTTGTTTCCAGAGAGGTTAAGTAATTTACTTCCAGTAAACAGAAAGTCAAGTTTCCACCTAGCTGTCTGGTCTGGTCTTCACAAAGGCATCTGAAGGTCCTTCTGTCTGTTTCAAGACTGATTCTGATCAAAGCCTGACCTAGAGAAGGTTTTGAGTAAAACCCAGTAGTGACCCCCAGATGGGCCGTGTTCACCCGGTCTCCTGTCTACTGGTAATGCTAGAGATCAGAAGAGATTGCAGAAAAGAAGCCCCAGGGTCTGGGTATGCAGCTTGGTGGTAGATCGTTAGCCTGACATGTGGGGGATGGCGGGGAGAAGAGGAGGGAGGATAAAGAAAAGAAAAAAGTTGTGGATTAAGTGCAGACTCCTCAGCAGTAGTGTGTTCCAGTCTGCAATCTTCTTCCCGCTTCCCCGGCTTCTCGTGTGATTTATCCCACTAGGAAGTCAGGCTTGCCCATCCCCAGCCCCCAGACCTGACTTGATCCAATACCTAAGCGTGTTGCTCCTACTTTCTGAATGAATAAATGGCTTACAAGGCCCCGCTGTCCCTGCTGCCCTTGCTCATCTCTCCACCCCACCCACAGCCCGGCCCTGGCCCTCCATCACGACCCGCCCAGGACAGTGTAGATCTGGAACCTGAGCAGACATGGCGCATGCCCCATCTGAGCAGGAGCTTAAAAGCCCCAGCGTGGCTCTGCCATTACTCTCATCCATCTGCCAGGAGCCTGGTGTCCCCCTGGAAGGGCAGCCTCTCCATCCAGGTTCTGGAATAAAGAGGACATGGAACTGAGTCAGAGCCACACACTCTAAGGGGTGTGGAAAATGAGCAAGAAATCGAATCTTGTTCTTGAGAGCCACAGAGATGTTGGGGTTGTCTATGATTCTGTAGCTCTGCTACAGGCAAGACAGCCTGCAAGACTAGATCCCCATGGCTCATGTCAGGAAAAGAAAACCAAGAAGACCAGAGGCCAGGCTGGCCATGGAGCTCGGTGGCAGGGCACCTCCTAGCACTGATGAAGCCCTGGTTCCACCCCCAGCACTGTCAGGAAAAAAGAAAAAGAAAAAGACCAGAGGCTCCTATCCCAGCCGGGCCCCACCAGCTTGCAGAGAGGCGGTATCTTTCTAGTAAGGCTTGGCTTCCGCCCTCCTCCCAGTTCCTACAGAGCACAGCAAAGGTTCTGCCCAGCGGGAGAGGCAGCCTTAGAGACAGAGCTCCGCAAGTTGCCCTTGGGAACCGGTTTTTCTGGAACAATGCCTGTGAGCACTGTCCAACAAGACGGAGATCTTGATTGACAGCCGTTGAGAGAGCACTCAACATCTCCATCCTAGTACAACAAGGAAAGGGCAGAGCAACCAGGAGAGCGAGAGACAACCAGGGAAGGAGATAGCCGCCAAGGGCCCTAGGGGGTCACAGTCCACCCTGGGGCTGGGAGAGCTGTGGCCACGCACTAGGCTGCACCCACTCAGGAACAGTCAGAGCTGCACCCAGACCCTCCACAAGAGGCAGCAGCCAGGCTGGTACAAGGCTGAAGCCTGACCTTGGTTACTCTGCCCTGGTCACCACTCCTAGGAAAACCAGCTTAAAAATAAAACTGCTCCCTGGCAGCCCGGAAGCCCGAACACACACAGCAAGGCTGCACTGTCGCACAAGCAGGCAGGGAGGGAAATTGCAAACCACCAGTCCCTGTCTGAAGTGGGCAAAAACACAAACACTCAGCCACAGGAGCAGCCTGCAAGCCACACACTCAACCCCACAGGAGGGAGGGGCTCTGACTCAGTCAGGAAGCCCAAACTCGGACCAGTGACTGAGGTATGCCGCTCCAGGGCAACCCCGACGAAGACAAGGTCACCAGAAAAATAGGAAAAAACCCTCTGAGCCTAACCATCCCAGGCTACATGCTGCAAGGACATAGACGTCAGGGGGTTAACTCAGGCAGGGCACCAACAAGTGACCAGGCACGCAGGACAGCTGCACTGAGTCCTGAGATCCGTATCTGGAGTTGCTACAGTGTTATCAAAAATATGCAGTTTTCCACCAAGAAGTCAGAAGACAGGCAAAGGAACTGCAGAGCGTGGTTCCTACACAGAAGAAAGGCAGCCACAGACACTGTTTCTGAAGGACGTTGGACTTAGCAGATGGTGGCTTCAGAGCAGCTGTTAGGAAAAGTTCAAAGAACCAGAGGAGACCCCATGTGAAGAACTGTAGGCAAATGTGATGACAGTGGCTCGTGAAACAGACTCCACTGAAGAGACAACCAAATGGACATGCAGGACCGGAGAGTGCAGCAGCTAAATTAAAAAGTCACTAGAGGGCTGGGCTGGGGCTCAGTGGTAAATCGCTTGCCTAGCAGGAATGAGGCACTGGGTTCGATTCCTAGCACCACATACAAATACATAAAATAAAGGTCCATTAACAACTAAAAATATTTAAAATAATAATAATAATAAAAACTCACTAGAAGAGCTTCACAGAGACTCAGATCAGCAGAAGAATTGGTGAATTCAAAGACAGGCCAATAGAGATTATGGAGTCTGAACAACAGAGAGGGGACAAGAAGGGAGAAAATGAACAGAGATTCAGGGAAATGTTAATACTATGTTAATAGATTTTAGAGAAAATACATATGATTATCTTCATAGACACTGAAAAAAACCTATAACATTCAACATCTCACTTTATTAAAATACTTAATCAAATAGGAATTGAGTGATACTTTTTTTGGGGGGGAGGAATACCAGGGATTAAACTCAGGAGCACTCATCCACTGAGCCACATCCCCAGCCCTATT